AAAGCTGAGCAGAAGGCTTTAAAGATGTGTGTTATCAACAGGAGCACTCTGTCAGAGTTTCTCTTTCTTTTACTGGGAATACCATGAGACCGAATGTATGTTCTACTCTTAAATCTGCTTCAGAGGCTGTGAGACGCTTTTCTGCGGCTCTGAGGTGGCGTGACTAACAGAATGACTGCTTTTGGAGTGAGCCAGGCCAGTAAGAACAGTCACCAGGACCTACAGGAAGTGGTAAAGGCTGGAGAAAACCCACAGTCTGCTTTGAGCTGCTCTTGCTTTCTTGCTTCTGAAACAGATTAAACAAGCTCCAACATGCTAATTTGCATCTTTACCTGAGGAAGGACACGAGACATGTAGTTTACAAAGCAAATACTCTGACTTACCATGAGGTGGCAGTGCGGGCCCAATGGATCACCCACAAGCACACAATAAAGGACACAAAACATCTCATGAGGCTAAGTGGACTATATCTTTGGTTTTCCACATCAGACTTCTGAAAGTTCAGATGTGTAGCAAGATGGTTTTGGTTCATCCTCAGGGGAGAACTGCTGAGAAACCCCATTTGGTTTAGAGCTGTGAGAACCAAAGCGAAATGGGAGGAATAGAAAAACAAAAAGACCCGGGGTTGGTTGCCGGAATAATGCCCGTTACAGCGCGATCAGCACGAGGAAAACCGCACACCCAGAGGAAGAGCAACAGCAAACCGGTCAAAGCGTTTAAACCGTAGCAGCGAGGAAACCGCACACCCAGAGCAGCGTTTATCACAGCCGGAGACTTTAATAAGGGAAACCTGAAGAAAGTCTCACCAAAACTACATCAACACATTCCCTTTAATACACGTGGGAACCGGCTTCTCGACCACTGTTACACCTCTTTCCGGGATGCGTACAAAGCCCTCCCCCGCGCCCCATTCGGCCAATCAGATCACTGCTCCATCCTGCTCCTGCCCGCCTAACCAAAAGCCAGAATAGCGGTATGATGAGACAACCCTATGTTCAAAGGGAGCAATCCACCCGAAAAGATTAGGGCCCAAGGAAAACATGTTGACATATAAAGTTCCTGTCTGTTCGTCACGTGGACGACCAATAATCGTAGTATTAATGTGCAATCCCCTGCGACTTTGCAAGAGGGCACTGTTCTCAAGCTTTGATCTATGAGATACTACAGGAAACTAAGGGAGAAATGCTTTCACCATTAGCTAAAAATCTTCCGCGACCAAAACGACAGTTGAGATATACACATACTCAGTCTGTGGATTTGATCTCTCCTGTGAGAACCAAAGCGATAGATTATGGAGAAAACAAAGACCGTCTTGCTGTCCGGGAATTTAATTCCTTTGGGGGGGCTGAACACAGAAGACTCCTGGGTCTATTGCTTAAGACTGAAAAAAGGAAAACATGATACTTTCTAGGAAGAACTCTATACATGCATCACATTGGGGTGATGAACTGTCTTTATTATTTTGTACTGCTTGACACTTCTGTTTGAATTCAAATCATCTGAATGTTAATCACTGTTTCAATGTGAATATCCCAACAATGGGAATTATAAAGCCTGTCTTGTCGTATATATTTCAACAGTTTCAAAACCTAAGCTGGTATTTTGATGAAAAAAATGACATATAATCAGCTGTTTAAAAGGATACTTTAAAAGTACATTAAAAAAAAAACTAACTCAACATTTGTATTCAGTTTTTGTGTGGATAGAGAAAATCCTGCATTATACTCCAAGATGCTCACTATACGAAATCTACTGAATTATATAAATATTAAAGGTGTGAAAAGTTGTTGGAATAAAACTAAACTCATCTTTATTAGACAACTATGTCATGTCTGTGGTCATCACAAATGTTACAAACATGATAACGGGTCAATAACAGTGAACAAATTCGAAACTAATGACATCATGTAACAGCTGGACTGATACAATAAATACTGCAGACACTATTAAAAATAGTCAGCCTGTTTAACCTACTGCCCTCACTAGTTCCTTTTTAACAATCAATAATTATTGTTAAACATTATTTTTTAAGAATGTACAACTGATTTTATATTATTATGGGTGTAGTGAACGCATCATTACAGTTATTTTCTTAAAATGCAAAAGATGTAAAAGGAAGAAAAATGATTGAGAAAGTTCATGAATGATTCATACAGTGAGACAGAAAACCTCACAGCAACGGTATAAACCGTACAAAATAATTCTGACATTTTGATTAATGATTCATGTGCAGACACTGGCACTCATCATACCTAGCTGATACTGAGTTCATGTTCCTGCACAAACAAATCTATCAGATTTTAATTCATATTTCATGTTTCCCCGTGACACCTGGCTTAAGATGATGGCATTTGATCAGTGAGTAAAGGAAAGAACAAGATGGGTTCACAAACCAATGAAGACGGTCTATTTTATCTCATTAAATGTAGCAGTGTTGTCAGTCCAATAACTCTTCCAAATCCACAGTCCAGCATAGAGCGGCTTAGTGAATGTGGTCTGGACTCTGTGGAGGAGGGCCATGGTGTCAGAGACGCTGTAGAA